CTTGTAATTTGGATAGCATATCACGCCCCAGCAATTGGACTGGACACTCAGGCATATAAAGGAATTGATGTTTTACTACGTGGCCTCCCAATGTACAGAGTCGACTTTTAAGAACCGGTTTTTCAGCACTTCTTCCAGTTGCTCCTATTACGGTAATAGTTCTTCCAGATGGAGGAGCAACTTGATTAGTCACCACCGAATGTTCAGCACCAGTGTCGATCATGAACGCACTCCTTTTTCCCCCTATTGATACATCGACCATAGGCTCCGCTCGACCAAGGGGGATGGAGCCCGGTCGGTATCAATAGTCCTCCATGACCGTGTCAGCCAATCCCACAAAGTCCCTACCTTCTCTATCGCGAGACCTTTGCGCTGCTGGATAGTACCTATCTTCCTTACACTTCCTCTGTTCCCATTACTCCCTCTATTACCATTACTCCCTCCGGGGCCTCCTCTACCTCTCGCTCTGCCTCTAAAGTTTCCGTAACCTGCCCTGGGTAAGTCTCTCTCATACTGCTCTCTTTGCGGACACTCGTTCCTCCAATGCCCTTCTTCCTTACAGTACGCGCACTGATTCCTATTCAAAGGCTCCCTATTCCATCTACCATCGCCTCTATCTGGGCCCCGTCTATCTACGCCTGCGATCGCTACCGCTAGCATATCTGCCTTTCTACGCATCTTGCGCTCTAACTCTTTCTTACTTTCTGTTTCCCTATTCATATATACTTTGTTCGCTACCTCCATTAGTTGAGTGATAGACATACCTGCAAACCCTTCTAATTTCTGTAGCTTGCGCTTAATATCTCCGTAAGCTTGGCTGACAAAGGCGGAGTTTACCATTCGGGAATTATCAGCGTCTTCCGGATTAAAGGGGGTATACAAGCGGTATGCCTCCAATAATCGGTCATAAAGACACTGGGCGCTTCATCACTTTTCTGAATCACCTCAACTGTCTTCGACATGTTAATAGCTTTCTTCCCTCCGGCTTTCATGCCAGCAATTATAGCATCTCTATAGGCTTTAAGTTGAGCCATATCTGCGCCATTTACATTCCAGTCAGGATCGGTGTTAGGGTAATGTGTTGCGGCCCATGCTGCCGGATTGGCTTGATTAAAAGCACGGGCTCTCTCCTCTAGCGCCTTAATGGCCGCTTGGTTAATCCTTGTCCTTTCCTCATTATTGAACAATGTCATTAATAACTGCTGGCAATCAGCTCATGTCGGGTTATGTGTCTGAACTATCGAGGTGAACAGATCGGTCATAGCTTGTGGTTTCTCAGTGTACGAGGAATTGTGGGTCTTCCAATTCAAGAGATCGGTAGTCGTGAACGGGACATATACGAAAACTGGGTCAGTATGTGCCATTTGACCTGCGGCATCGATATAGGCTGACCCAGGATTCAGACGAAGAGGCATCTGATAATGTTTTAATTGTTGGGTATCGGTCAGTTGTCGGGTTAGTATGGGGCTACGTGGAGGGGCGTCAGTTAAAGGTTCCGGTCGAGAGGTAATAGGGCATGAGGATGTGGGAACTTGATTTTGGGAAAAGTTAGTGAATAGTATACTCCGAGCCGAGCTAGAAGAAGCTTGACCGGAAGTTTGAAGTGGCGCCAAATCAGGATATTCAGATCTAATGGGGGTTGGTCCTGGTTCCGGAAGGGGAGTTTTAATACGAGGGGGGGTGGATTCTGTACTGGAGGAGGAAGCGGAAGTGGATGGGGGCAATAGGGGAAGGGGTGCAGAGCTTCCTGCATTCGCGTCACTTCCTCTTAAAGGAAAGTAAGGGGGCGGCAAAGGGATCTCGGACTCAGGGGGCGTGTCCAAAATGGGCCTAACACCAGTCCTAGTGGACAAACAAGTCCTGGCCACCATGAGGCGACATTGCTCCTCGTGGCATATCCGGATCCATTTTGGCGAGTCGTTTACGGCCTGCCCCCAACAATCAATGTATGGAAACTGTCCGTAAAGTTCAGGCCTACCTGATACAGCCACGTGTACACGCTGTACCAGGGTTGGATCCAAACTGCCACGCGGCGGCCATGCCGCAACCAAAATAGGCCACTCCCTAGTGCACAAAGTGACCAAACGTACAGGAGACATTTTAACCCCAAAATCACATGTTTTGAATCCCTTTTTAAAATTCTTTACCATACAACCTAAGGGATCCGAAATCGTTGACTCTGACGCGCCCATACTTATCAATGGAACGTCGTTGACAACGAATACTATGCACGCGTTCTTATTCAACAGTCACACCCGTTTCCTCTGGCAACAGCACCACGTGGTACAGTTACCGAGTGAAACGTACACAATAACACAATAATCACTCAGGGAATTCCCGTACACACACAGCTGTTACACCAGTCACTAAATAATCAATATTATGCCCTTTGGCGAAACTATACAGTCACCCACGCTATAATTCTCTATATATGAATTACCCGTCTATAACACACCCCAGTAACATCGTCTTTTACTAGTATCGGTTACAGTACGGTTAGCATAGGTCAAAGCACAATTTAAGGTCACAATACAATTATTAGTGGTTACGGTGTTAAACATGCAATAGACGACAATGATTAGTACTTATATACAGTGTCAGTAAATATACAGGGTTATGGTACCGTGCACTATGATACAGCAACACACTATTAACACTCTCGCTAGACGGCTGAGCTCGCGCTATCTAACAAGATATACACTTTACTAACAATCTTTAACACATTTACAATCCCAACTAAACTATTGGCCAGTACCTTGAATGGACTACCTAAAACTATATACACCCGCTTTGGTTAGCCACACTGCCCAAACACCACATATAGCGAACTAGAGGGCGAAATTTACAAAATTGCCCTTCTAGTCTATTTACTCTATCAAAAGTCTAGTGGGTTCCAAATTTACACGCCTTCCCACTTAGCCAAGATAGGTTGAGAGCTAGCGAACCGAATTTACACAGGCGCCGCTTAGTCTCCCGGTCCCTCCGACCTAGCGAACGTAATATACACCCTAGAACGCTAGTCTAGACAAGACACCGGTGTCCGGCTAGGGCTATTTACACAGGACCCCGCCTGACTAACCAGATCAAACGGTCTTACTAAAGAGCGTTCGATCGAGCGGTGCGCCTTCGCTCCTTCCCTCCGACAGAGGGGGCAGATTCCATACACAGATTTAAACCCCTTTTGGGCCTACCGCACAATCGGTATACCCCTAGTGGGTCTGCCGTCTAAAACAGCAGTTGTCTTACCTCCTCGTTCCTGAACCTGAGTTCACACTCATCGACGGGGACACCCCAGCACTTCTTACGTAGAGGCCGATGATCTCCTGGACAACAGACCAGTGGCGCCGAGACGAAGGGAGGTCCACGCAGAAGTTCAGGGGTGCAGCCGTAGAGAACGTGGGCAAAGATAGACCGTCTCACGCCTCTGCCTCTCAGCTACCGTTGAACGATGAGCTTCCCGGCCAATGCACCAAATGATACCGGAGAAACTGACGGAAGCAAAGCACAGAGGGATGGACACAGGTTTCTTCAGGAAGGAAGAGATTCTTTATTGGATCACCGATCGGGACTCAGAGGGACTAATGTCACCAAAAATACAGCAAGTTCTGAGCCCTGAACAATAGTGCAGGCTCCCTATATAGGCACATAACTCCTCCCATATTAAGCTCCACCCGCACATTCTCTTGACCAATCATTACAAATAAGAATTAACTTCCTGCTTGACCGCATGGCTTGTCCAGCACAATGGAGGAGGGGAATACTACATCCTGTATTCTTGCACATGCTCCGTACACTACTGATCGTATCTTGCCTTGTGCAACCAACTGATCGATACGTCAGCATATGCACGTACACATGCCACGTGGTAATCTCGGCCTACTAAATTTATTTTTACCGAGATTCCACCACAAAACCACACCCACTGCGCTCATGTAGTAGCTGTAAGGGGAAGAAACCAATGGATTTCTGTAGCACTCCCCGGTAAGCACACAAAAAAGCAGACAGAGAACACTCCCAGGATAGATGTGCTGTATCAACACCCATCATCTCTTTAATTTTGCGGTCTGTCTGCTGGGCTTGTTGCACTATCAGACTCTGAACCTTTGGTTCACAATCAGAAAGTTGCTTAGGTGTATGCGTGAGTTGTGATAAACTGACAAGGTTCCTGGTTCCCCCAACAGTATGTTTCCCTGCAGCCATCCTTCCTGGACCCACAGGCTGAGTCTGTCCGTGCCCCTCACTTTCACTCCAGGTCATCACACATACAGAACTTTGGAAACTGGCTAAGTCTGGCGCACAGTAAAGCTCACACACCCTCTGCCCTCCCTCATAGCCTTGCTGTCCCTTCACATTTTCACCCACCACATCACATACATTTTCACAGGACACATTTGACCCCCCTTGATCAGATACAGAATTTTGCACACACTCACATAATTTCTTCTCCAAGGCAGGCCATCCTCTCGCAATCTCACATAGCCCCTCAGACTCTGCAGCCGTGACCCACTGCTGACTTGTTACCACTGCTGACTTGTTACACTGGCTCTCACCTTCCTCCTCTCCCTTACTCTCTGACATCCCAGCCTCACAGTATTTTAATACAGGCACATCACTACTCACCCCTATCTCACATTTGGTAGACATCACTGGTTCAGTTACAGGTAGATATTTATCCACACCCTGCTCTCCATCCCAGCAATCACACTTCACAATGTCTCCCAAAGTTTCACACAATACCTTAGGTGGAGCAGTCAGCCCTTCTGGCTCACAAACAGTGTCCGCTGGAGCATAGTGACAGAACATCCTGCCCAAATCATTCCCCAACAGAACATTAACAGGGATATCCTCTGAAATCCCCACTTCCCGCAAACCTTTGCCCGCACCCCAATCAAGGTACACACGTGCCAAGGGCACAGCGGGGCATACACCCCCAATTCCTTTGATGGACATGGTTCTTCCAGGGATTATGTCCTCCGTATTCACCACTTCAGGTCGCACCAGGGTGAAGGAAGCTCCAGAATCTCTCAGTCCCATGGTCACTCGGTCACCCACAATTACACTCTGCAGGTTATCCTCTTGTTTCCCCACGGACCCACCCACAAGCAATACTGATGGTGCCCCTCCACGGACTGGTGAGGGCATATTCCTAGTGGGGCAAGTCCTGCTCAGATGACCAATCTGGTTGCATCGAAAACAATAGCGGGCATCTGACTCACTTGACATAGCCCCGGCTACGCTGGCAGTCGGCGGTGAAGTTCTCACTGCAGATCTTACAGGTGGTGTTTGAACTGTAGCTTCTCTCCAGGTCGAAGTAGCAGCTGACACAAGTCCACGCCTGGATGTGGGTGCATGGATGTCGGCATAGTCATCTGCCAGTTCTGCAGCAGCCCTAGCATTTTTTGGTTTTCTTTCCAAAATCCACTCTCGTACATTAGGGCTCCGGGTCTGCAAGAACTGCTCCAGGACCATTAAGTCATTAAGGGCTTCATAGGTAGTAGCTTGTACTCCTGTTACCCATTGCCGGAACGTGGTTTCTAATTGTGCAATATATAGAATGCAGCTGGATGATGGGCATTGCTGCATACTCCTAAACTTTTTCCTGTAAGACTCAGGAGTAAGGTTAAAAGTTTTTTGCAATGCAGATTTGATTGCCTCATAGTTGTTATCAGTCTCTGGGGGAAGGGACACAAACACATCCAAGGCTTTCCCTTTCAGTTGTGGAGTTAAATATCTGCCCCACTGGTCTGAGGGTAGTTGATGCTGCCTGCATACTTTCTCAAAACTTTTAAAAAATACATCCAAATCTGTCCCTTCTTCGAGGGAAGGAAAATCATCCTTACGGAGCCTACGTGTGCTGGACTCTGATGCATTGCTGTTCAGTGAGGACTGAAGGGTAAATTGCAGTTTAGCAAGTTCCAGCTCATGTCTCCTTTGTGCCTCCCTTTCGGCTAGCCTCTCTGCAGATTCCCTTTCTGCAGCCTGCTGTTGGATCATCACATGCAGGGCCTCCTGAGGATTTGCAGCCATCAGTTGCCGAAATAAATCAGTTGAGCAAATGTCCTTAATGTTTTGAGGGGTACAACCACCAGGCATTTCAGTAAGCAACACTCCTGCAGTAGTAGGGAGCTCGGTAACCCTTTCAGTGTCCGTCTCTGGCTGGAAAATATGGCTGTCAGCCTCCACAAGGTCAGCAATAAGTTGTGCCTTATTTTTGCCAAAAGTTGGTAAATTCTTTTCTTGGCACAACAATTCCAAGGCCTCTTTTGATTGTTTGCGATAGGCCTCCATATTCACAAATAGGATAGAGAAAGAAAAACAAAAGATGGGAGGTGAGAACTGTTTTGCACTTTGTACGTTTTTTAAATCAGCACTGAGCTTGGTCTCTGGAAATTACACAAAAACAAGTATGCAATTTCTTTTAGTGCTAAGACCCCCTTTACAGGTAAAATCTAGCAAGCACTAAAAATCTCTAAATATATCCCACTAGCTGCCGCCAGTTTGTCACGTGCGTGGGCTATAGGCCCAGCCGAGACAGTGGGGAGAGTGTGGAAGTGACAGGGTTAATGACACCAGACCCCTGGTTACCTGTTGCTAGTCCCAGCAACCACTCAATTAACCCCTGCAATCCCTTCTACACTATCCCCCTTAGTACTACTGCCACCACCAAGACTTTTAAACCCGGGCGTCTTAGGTTACCCCACACACAGGAGAATTATAGTATCACCGTTCTACTTTTACTGATAAAACATATATAGTTAACCCTTTTTGGTAACGTGTTTACCTGAGCTTTCCTCTGGAGAGTGAAGCTCATAGAGAACAGAGACACAAGCTGATTAAGTAAACATTTAATCTGACAAAAAGGATTCACAGTGCTGAGTACAAAATACAGAAATAAATGACATACAGATGACAAATTGCAAAACAGTACATAAAATAAAATAGGAGAAAACACAAGAAATTCCTTACATATATTTACCCCATATAGAATTCTTGTGGGAGTCTTAGATGGTATAGCTCCTAGAAGTTACTGACAAAAGAAAAATGAATAACTGCCTTCCCTGGATAGTCCAACACCCTCATATATCTAAACTAGTGGTTTCTCAGTGGGCAGACCCCTGGGGGGGGATCAGAGGGGGTTGGTCTGGCAGTCTATTGCCCACTCTATGAAATTCCTTGTGTCCAGCTCTGGTGATGGCTATCTAGATGTTTTATGGTCTAGGCCTGGTGCAAGATCAAAGACCACAATAAATGTCATCCCAAGGTTTACAAAAAAACAACTCTTAACATATATAAACACACATAAAACACCAACTCATGCTTTTGGCATGACATGCTGACTCTGCTGCAAATCTCCATGCTTTGCATAACAACACGGCAACATATCTTCCACACTAACCCTGCACACAGAGGTGCACTAACAGCGCTCTTGCCATGTTTGACAACATGCTGGATCTAGTACACTGCATTCTACACTAAACGGGCAGGATTATTATTTCTAAGCAGCCTATATCACCAGTTTTATATATTTGATATACATGCTCACGATCAACCTCCCAGGTGACTAGGCACGAATTGTTATTGTTATACCCTTTAGTTCAGCATATGTTCCCAAGCATGTTAAAAATGTAACGGCAATAACTGTCTATCTACTGTTGGATATGACTGTTTAGACAGCCTGTAAATGCTAGGAATACTTCTTCCACACTTGAGCATAGTTAAGCGCGACTATATAAAGGGCCCGAGGCTAAAGCGAAGACACTTACTACACTTACCCTGTTTTCCCGAAAATACACCCTACCCCGAAAATAAGCCCTAGCTGGATTATCGGGGTGGGCTGCAATATAAGCCCTACCCTGAAAATAAGACCTAGGCAGGGCCGGCGGCTGACGGCCCTTTAAATGCCACAGCCGACTGAGCCGCACTGCCTCACCTCCCCTTCCCTGTAGCGTGGCCGAGCTCCTCTCCGGTCCGCAACCCGGCCGGACTGACAGGAAGTGCACACTGGGTGTGCACTTCCTGTCAGTGCGGCCGGGTCGCAGACCGGAGAGGCGCTCGGCCACGCTACAGGGAAGAGCAGGTGAGGAGAAGATTGGAGGGGGGAAGTATTACAGGGAGGGGGGGAGAATATTACAGGGAGGGAGGGAGAGGGGAGAGTATTACAGGGAGGGGGGAATATTACAGGGAGGAGGGAGAGAGTAATACAGGGAGGGGGGAGAATATTACAGGGAGGGAGGGAGAAGTATACAGGAGGGAGGGAGAGTATTACAGGGAGGGGAGAGTATTACAGGGAGGGAGGGAGTATTACGAGGAGGGGGGAAATTACACAGGGAGGGAGAATATTACAGGGAGGGAGGGGGAAAGTATTACAGGGAGGAGGGGAGAGTATTACAGGGAGGGGTGAGTATTACAGGGAGGGTGAGAGTATTACAGGGAGGGAGGGAGGGAGAATATTACAGGGAGGGAGGGGGGAAAGTATTACAGGGATGGAGGGGGGAGAGTATTACAGGGAGGGAGGGGAGAGTATTACAGGGAGGGAGGGGGATAATATTACAGGGAGGGAGGAGGGAGAGAATTACAAGGAGGGAGGGAGGGGAGAATATTACAGGGAGGGGGAGGTGAGGGTCTCTGGGGGGGTTACACAGCGCGGACACCGGCTGACAGACTAGCTCTAAGCCCTACCCTGAAAATAAGCCCTAGTGTGTTTTTTGTGACTAAAATTAATATAAGACCCGGTCTTATTTTCGGAGAAACACGGTATTAACCTTACGCTACTGTAATCAACGATAGAAGAACTCACTATGGCTCACCAGCATGTACCCAGCTTGATTTCGCTATTATCACTATATAAATATCTGTGCGTACCTTCTCAATGCTATATAACAGTTCACACTCTTGTATGTTCACATTGTCTAAGTATGCTGTTGTGGCATTACTGTCATATGATTGTTACCCATGCACAACAAAAATAAAAAAAAAAAAAAGTTATTTTCTCGGGGGCGGACTGCCAGGCTCAATGGACGCACAATGGAGTAGCTCCTGTAAAAACCTCCAGTTTTAGCCCCCAAAAAAGAGCATCACGCATACCTGACAACTGGTTGCCGAGCACCAGTGCAAGAGGCCACCCTGGTCCCGAGGAGAGGCTTGCTGAGCAGTTTTAGTCCCGAGGAGGGGCGATCCAAATCACGATGCGGACCGCTCAGGCGGTGAGCGAGGTGGTAAGGCAGCAACCCGGGGTTAGGCGGGTCCGGCTCCGTTACCCCCCTTTGGGCCTGGGGGGGTGATCCTGGTCCCCACCCCGAGACCCATCGGAACACCACAATGCCGACGCTTGGAGCTAAGGCAGAGAAAGCAGTTTCAAAAATGGCGAAGACCACATGGCAAGCGACCCTGATAACAGCCGAGCGCACTCACCTCTCCTGCGGCCACACAAACAGATCGCAGAACCAGTCAGAGCGGGAACCGGCGGAGTGGGTGCTAAGACCCCATGAGCAGAACAACAAAAACAAAAAGGGAACTGTCATTGCATACTGGATTACCCTACCATACTAAACAGCGCACCGAGAGGGAGCCGAAATGCACGGACTGATCATTCACAGCAGACGGGATGCCTGGGATCTCTCACCAGCCCAAGACAAACACCTGACAGACTAGCTAACAAGGAAATATCAGTAGTGCAGCAGACACCTAAGCTTCTCGCACCAAAGAAACTATCCTCACTGAATAAACACTGGTCTCCTGACAGGCAAACACAGACCCTTTGCCTGACCGATGTGGAAACCACCTGGGGTGGACATTTTACAGTCTAATCATAAGGGTTAAGGCTGCTTTAGAGTTTAATATAGCCACTCATGCTCTAGCCCAGCATAACCTGCAACCACTCTCACAAAGCTTAGGCAGCTAAGAAAGGTGTCTACTCATTATTGTAATCAGCCTAAGAAGAGCTCAATAACCAGCATGCACAACTTTTATCATTAGCAGTTATCAACCACTTGAATGGTAATGTTGTATTTAGCGGGATAAAATATGCATACTCATTTACTGCAGTCACTAGTATGTAACTGATGTTAGCTTAAACAGTCAGTAAACTAACGACGTTACAACAATCTACTTATGTGTGTATGTATAGTCTAATTAATCTATATGAATGCTACTCTAGTACTCCAAGCGTGATATTTTATAAAATTAAATGTGCTGACAACTCCGTCATGATATTATATACCAATGTAAAGCTTGTACTCGCTGTCGTGGCGCTACAGGCCTGTTTGTAAAAGTATGCACAAGAAAAATAAAGAATTTTTTTTTTAAAGTGATTTTCTCAATTTTGATCTTTCTGCTGTTTAGTAGGTAGCTCCCTAAATTGGTACCCTTATATGGGATTGTCATATAAGGATACCAAATTAGGGAGTTATCGACTAAACAGTTGCAATCTCAGCTTTAAGAATAGTACTTTA